CGTGACCCCCAGAAACCATGGCAACCCCCGCCGGCGAGCGCTGTGCACGCGCCGCTTAGACCGCTGCAGGGCGGAGGACGCTGACAGGCGCTGGCGCTCTAACAGGGAGTGGGACTACCCCCGCGTGAGGCGCCGGGAAGCAGCCCCGCTGTCCACCTGTCTGCAAGTCTGGGAGCCGTGGGCCAGTGATCCGAATTCCCATACGTCATTCACCAGGAGAAACCCACTCAGAGCTGCTGCCTTGCGATTTGTCCTGAAATCAGCCACCACCTCAGTAGGGACATTTTATTTTCCTCTCAGAATCTAGTTGCACTGAGAAATGGTGACGTCTTTTGTCTAAAGTCAGGTAGTGGTAGTGGTTCTCTTTTGGTCAAAGAAATCCTATCCCATCTTCGTGACATCTTCATTTTTCTTTCACATTTCATCCAACCTTTCCCTATTCATCCTATGTATTATGGTTTGTCTTGCTGATGCTCTTCCATTGTGCCTTGGATGCACTATTACTGAGACAAAGGCACCATTTAGTGGGAGTCACTTATCAAAGTTAGTTGATACTCTTCAAACAGGACAGTGCAATTTGTGTACAATGTCAGGTCCTAAAGCAAAATAGAGCTTTGCCTGATTAGTCTCTAATTGTTTATTTTAAAACCTTTCCTTATATATTTGAGTAATTTTCAATTAGAACTAAAAAAAACCCTGAATATTTCAATATAAAGAGAAATAAAATTGCAAATTTGTGCTTTAAAGTCACTTTGACAGCAATGAGGCTAATTCTGCAAGTGTTTACATTTTTGGAGTAGTGAAAATTGTCTTTTGTCAATTAAACACTATTTAAATACACACATACTTAATTTTCTACAGTGACCATATCATTGTAAATAAAGTAGTTCAAGTGCAAGCTCACTTGTTCCTTTTTCTTTTTTTTTTAACTATTATTATTATTATTTTGCAGTGCTGGGAATTGAACTCAGGGCCTTGTGTGTGTGAGGTAAGCACTCTACCAACTGAGCTATATCCCCAGCCACTCCTTTTTCTTTTTTTAGTTTTATTTTATTCATTTAGTTATTCTGATTTCTTTTCATCCACACAAATGAGAAAATACATAAGTAACTCAAAAACTAGAAATCAGAAATATAACTACTCCCTTTTCTAAAAGTGCATCTTAATATTAATCATGTGTTTAAGATGCATCTTGTATTTATCCCATGAATGAATGTATTTCTCTAGTTTGGTTTCCTAATAACCTCATAATATTGATGTTCTGTTGTTTTTAAAGTCCTTCTGACTGTAATAGTGAAGCACTTTAAAGAAGTAAACTTTTATAAAATATGATAATCCTCACAAATGACTTCTTGGACACAATATTAGTTGATATTTATATTAGTTATGATTATTTTGTTCACCTATGGCCCAAAATATCGTAACTAAACAAGAAAGACTTATTTCTCTGTAATGTAAATGTAGGCCATTTAGGCTGGTAGATTACTCCATGATCATCAGGGACTCAGATTCCTTTGATCTTATTGCTCTGTAATCTTTGGCTTGTGGTCCAAAATGGTTGTTGGCTAGTTACCCTGTCCATATGTCAGCTAAGAGAAAAGTGAAAAAGAGAAGAGATCCTCCCCTTCTCCTCAACATATACCCTTTAAGAACACTTTCTTGCCAAGTCCTCATCTATTCCCTTGGCCAGAATTTAGTCAACATGACCACACCTGTAAGTGTAACAGATCGCATTTTCCAAAGTTGACAGCAATGATATCTCCTGTTGCGTATGTTCTTCTACAGTGTGACCTTGCAACTCTCCCATGATGAGCTAAAGTCTTACTTCCTCAAAATGGGATTATGTACTGCTTCGAACAACAGAACATGCTGGAAATCACACTGTGATGTTTGCCCTATTAAAGGCCTGACCCACAGATTCCATGAACATAAAGAAAAGGTTATTTTAAGCCTCTAGGTTTGGGGGTAATTGGTTACTCAACAATAGTATCAGAAACACATGATTATAGGGAAAGTTTGGGAATGTAACTTTTATTTTGAGCTGTTAGAAACATTTATTTGAGGATTAGAACTGAGTTGGGGAAATTGTCAGTCTCTGCCACAACCTTTAACACCTCTTCCCAAGGAAGGACACAAGAAAGAAGGCATTAATCTTCCAAACATTATTTTAAAGTGTCATTCTACATCTTGTTTCCAAATTCATTTAATTTCTTTTGGTAGATTTATAAGACGTGGTAGATGGCCCTCTGATATCAACCACAATGCCACAGAGACTCTCATTTCTTTAGGAATGTAGAAATGAACCAAGCATGAAATGTATAATTGGACTAGAAGACCTACTGGTCTCTGGCATCCCAGGAGATTTATAATAGTGTAATATTAAAAAGAAGATATGTTACATTGAAAATATCTTCACAAACACTTCTCTAAAGATTTTTATTTGCATCAATTCTTAAATCAATAACCATGACCTGAAAAGGTAAAGTTTGATCCTGATGTTCACATTATGTTAGTATTGTTCCCAGAACAAACACTTCTCAAATCATGTTCTGGATTTTATTTACTATCACATAATCTTTTGGTAATATTGTATGATTTTCTTTGCTTTCATTTTCAAAATATTTTCTTTTGAACCCTAGAGTGCAGTGATGGTGACTTAGTGGTACTGTTTATCCTGACTTCTTTAAAAGAACATCCCTGGTATTGATTCTTTGGTTGTTGATTTAGAAAGCAATTTGTGTTAGTTTCTCAGAGAATCAGACTGTGAAAGAGCTCAACGGTGAAATAAGAGTTCTAACAAATGTGTTGTCACTCAGAGAAATTAAACATATTGGACAGAGATACCAATTTGCATGTATGTGGCTGCCAAACCAAAAACAAGCCAACAGTTTGGACAAGTTTACAATGCAAGAATAATAACTACAACCTGTCAATCATGCAGCGTTCCCTATCAATAGTTAAGATGTGTTCTGATAAAGTCTTTCTGGTGCAAGAAATATATACCCACTCAAGGCAAAAAAAAAAAAAGCAGTTGACAGGATACAGGGGCTATGTTTGCCTAAGGCTCACTGAAGCCATCACGGTAAGTTTATGTACTTTATATTTTATATACAGTTCAACATTGACTACAGTTTTGGTGTCTCTAATATTCTCAAGAGAGTAAGTCCAGTAAGCTGGTCTTGACTATCCTAAGGATTGCCTTGCCTTGACTGGGGTAGTCCAGGGAGGCCATTGGAGTGTAGGATGAGAAATCAGTCAGGTAGTAGACTTAGCAAGATCTACCTCTTCAGCAGAGAAAAGCCCCAAACATTGGGACCAGAATGGTAATGTACCTAACAAAATGTCTGCTAAAGAATGGTCAGTTTCATAGCTTGAATATCTTATAAACATTTAGACTAAACATTTGGATTAAAATGTTTAATCTCTAGATTTAGCTTTTAAAGAAGTACCTCCAGAAGACAAGTAGTTCCCAGATTGTGGCAAACATCTGAAACACCTGGAAGACTGGTTAAAATATAGTTGCTAAGCCCCACCCCTAGATTCAGTAAGTGTGAGGTAGGACCCCAAAATTGGGAATTCTATTACATACCCAGGTGATGTGTACACTGTGGGTCTGAAAAAAACACTTTGAGAACCAAAGTGGTGCTAGATTCCCTATGAAGGAGTTTATTAAACTCATGATGAAAAGGGAGCATCTAGAAGTAACATTTTGCTTAACATCAAAGCATAAACTTTTCTCTGGCTAAATGAAGACAATGCAAATTCATTCTTTATTCTATTCTCCTTTAAGGGGTTTTTAAAAGTTAAAGACATTTTTTAAAAAGCATCAAAGAATATCTCCTTAAACACCAGATTTTGCAAATAGAATATGGATTTCTTTTTGAAGACCAAATTGGATACACACTTTTAAAAATCTCTACTTCCTGAAAGCTCATCAAAATAATAACTAAAGGAATAGGGGAAATTCATAAGTTAAAACAAAAGGAAAGCCACAATAAAAATTAAAATACTTTTTAAAAAATTTAAATCTTAAAAGGAAGGAAATTCTTACATGTGCTTGAAGACATTATGCTAAGTGAAATAAGTCAGTTACAAAAAGATCGATCCTGTATGATTCCACTTTTATGAGGCATTTAAAAGAGCCAAATGTCATAGAAACAGAAAGTTGATGGTGGTTGCCAAGGCTGGCAATGGAGGAATGGAGAATTGTTGCTTAATGGGTAAAGAGTTTCGGTTTTGTAAGATGAAAAAGTTTTGGAACTGGTTGCACAACAATGTGAATATATTTAAATGTTACTGAATTGTCCCCTTGAAAATGGATAAGATGGCAAAATTTATATTGTGTATATTTTATCAAAAATTTTAAAATTTTAAAGAAATGTTTATTTTTTTAAAAAGATCAAGGAAAAAGACAACAGCTGATGAAAGTTATCTGCTAAAGCTTTGGAACAAGTTTAGCAAACCAGAGAATGCTGAAACCTAAGCCTGGGTGAGGGGTCAGTGAGACGAAGCCAACAAGAAGCAAGATCACATCTGTCTCACAGAGTGCAGAAGCATGGAATCTGAAGACACTGGGTGCCTCTGAAGGGATGCGAAGGGGAGAGGATTGGCTAAATGTACCAGGTGCTGGTAACACTCTTCACTTTCAGACCCCTATCTACGCTATATAAGCAAATGCTGCTTCCCATTTCCCCTGACCCTCTTGAGAAATTGTTCCTGCTAGTGTCACCTCTCTCACCTTACATCATTGTTTGTTCTGCAACTGAGCTGTTCTGTGATAAGCAGATCCAGGGTGATCTGCTTCCAACCCACTGCTATTCAAGCCCTGTCTAATTCCTTTCCCTGAGTGCGGTAGTAACTGAGACTTTCTTCTACTAATAGAATATGACAAAAGAAAGGGATTTTGCAGATGAATTAAGGTCCCAAAGCAGTTGTTTTGGAGTTAATCAAAAAAAGGAGATTATCCAGGGCCTGACTTAATCAGGGAAAGCAGCTACAGAAGAAAGCGGTTTTCCTTGCTGGCTTGCTGATGTAAGCAGCCATGATGAGGAAGCCCAAGTGAAACATTTTTTCCCCTTAGCTTTCAAGTTACCACTTTTTCCTTATTTTCCTCCTGTCACTGGTTAGTAGTTATGCAGAATAGAAATCAGACATGACTGACAAAAAGAGGATAAGTAAGAATGATTTATTACATTTCTTTACATAGCAAGGTGGCTATCCCCTAGGCAGAATAGCAAGCAAAGAAGGCTACCACTTAGGCTGTATATGTTTGGGAGCTAAAAATTAACACATCCATAAGCTATGTTGTTATTATCATGCCTGGGTCATTTTGGACTCTGCCAAAAATGTTTGCACATGATTCAAAATGTGCCTAGCATTGTGCTTTTCTCCTTCCTGGGTGTATCTTTTAGAATGTAAATGCATTTAAATGAGGGTCTTGGCTACTTTGGGTATGCAGTTGTGGTTAGATCTGCTTGCACCAGTGCTGTATTTCCTTGTTTAACAATGGATGTGTTGAGGAAGGTCCTCCTGTCATTTATCTCAAGCTTTGAGTACCTATGTAGTCTTTTTCTTTAACAGTGCCCAAGTAGAGGCTACACTCCTGCCTCCCTCTACCTCCTCGTCCACATCTTTTTAGTCTCCTTTGGTAGCATGTCTTATCCTCATGAGCTCTAAACACTGAAGCATCTAGACATCCTCTTTCTCTAAACTCACTACCTAGCAATCTCCTCTAATTCAGTGACTTTAATACCATTTATATGCAGATGATTCTTAGAATAATGGTGAAGAAGCCATGGTATAGCTGAGGCTCAGCAAGTCTAGAGATCATCTGGGTTCAATGGAGCAGGAAATCAAAAACACATCAAAGGAAGTCCCCAAGGAAAAAGGAAAGGAAGCAATGAATGATCTAAAGTGCTTGATTATACGGAGAAAAACTCTGTTAGAGCATTTGGGAAATAAATAAATGATAAATGATAGTTTCTGAGAAAATTAGACAGTTGAAAACAGAGCAGTTCACTCCAGGGAAAACAGGTTAAATAAAAAGAAAAAACATCATAGAATACTGTATGGCTTAGCCATAAGCAGTATTTATGTAGTCATAATAATAGAGGGAAAAAAGAGTACTGATGCAACCAGAAAGTGTGGTATGACTTTTTTAGGAAGAAAAAAGGGAAGAGTATATATGGGTTGTGCTTGTATTGGTCCGTATCTGTATGTGTATGTGTGTCCGTGCGTATTTGTGGGAACTTGGAAAAGAACACTAAATCCTCTTCCATAACAGTCAATGGAAATACAAAATCAGAGACTCAAGAATAACAACATATATATCATCTAGAAAAAATGACATTAAGTAGCAAGAGAAATAGCATACATAATTCAAAATGCCTCTGAGAAATAGAAAAAAAATATACTACTTTGATTAAATTAAAGAGTCTGAATTTCTATGGCAGGTTACCAGGATCCCCACCTTTCATGCAATGCTTTCCTTTATTTCTGGGTTTAGGGGATCATATAGCTGAGATTTTTTTCAGTCTCTATATTTAGTGGGCTAAATGTTTAGTGGGAAGTTCCAAATCTGCATCTTCAAGCTCTTTGAGTTCGATAAATCAGAGGCTCTTAAATAGAGAACCACTTTGTACAGGCCAGGTCTTCAAGGTATTCTCTAACTATCCTATTTATTGTCTTACTTAGTTGAATGCTTATGAAGCTTTCCTTTGTTTTATAATATCCTGTTCTATTTCAGTGGTTTCTTTTTCTGTTCCTCATTTTCCCTCTTCAACTTAGACTCCATTGCACTTGTGAAAGTCAAAACTCAAGATTCCCAGGTGTAGAATTCTCTTGCTAATCTGTATCCCTACGGAGTAGAATGTTCCCTTTTTTACTTTCAGTCTTCTTAGAGCAAATGTGTGCTTTATTTGAAGAACAGTTTGCCATTTACCCTGCTTCAGGGTCATGCTATCTCTTGTTTGCTAAACTGCAGGCTCTACTAAATTCTGTTTGGTCTTTCTCTTGCACAGAAACAAATTACACATGTGTCAGAATAGAAGGGGATACTTAGAGTGTCTAAGTTATCTTTTATTTACTATTTTGAAGGCAAATCTACCTTTTCCAATTCTCCTTTAGTGCCTGAGTTCTGGAACTTGTGAAAACGTGCATAAGCCAAGCTACATGAGCACTCATACAAATAGGTACCATTTTTACCTGGACATTTAGATCTTTCCATCTGCTATACATTATACATTGTTTGTTCATCCATGAGAAGACCCTGGTGTTATTCCTTGACAGATGATTCCAAAATACACAAGACTTTTAGTTCAGTCTTCTCTCTTAATCACAAAGGCCACAACTCCATTCATCTGGAGGACTATAATTAGGTTCCAACACCTCAAATTCAACAACAAAATGCATTAGAAACAAACATCAAGCTCTGTCCCCTCTATTATTTGCTTATAACATCATCTAGGTTGTGGTCTAGACTCTCAAAGCCACCATTGACTTTTGTCTCTCACATACCTAAGTGGACAAGCTGTCCAGTCCTGTTGATCCAAACACTATGGCGTCTTGCTGACATTTCTCCTATCCCTGCCTTCCTAATGTCACTGTGCATCTTAGCTTGGGCTGACAGAACAAAGGACCACAGACTGGGTGGCTTAAACAACGGAAATCTATTTTCTTAACATTTTGAAGGAAAAAAGTCCAAGATCAGGGTGTCAGCATGGTCAGGTTTGCGTAAGGGCTCTCTTCCTGGCTCATATTCACTTAACTTTTTCTTGGCATATGCACAGGGAGAAAGAGCTCTGGTGTCTGTTCCTCTTGTCCTGAGGCCACCAATTCTATTGGATTAGGACCTTTCCCTTATGTTCTCATTTAATATAACCCCTCCCCACAGCCTTGTTTCCAAATGCGCTTACATTGGGGATTAGGGCTTCAACATAGGAATTTGGGGGTGGAAGCAGACACAATTCAGTCTGTAACACTGTCCTAGAATGGGCCTGAGTCACTTCTTGCCAGGACTGCTGGCTCCTAATAAACCCTCCTGTCTCCGGTCTCTCCCATTTCTAGTTATGCATTATCTTTTCTAGGAACATTTTTGCTTATGTCACTTTCTGCTTTAAAAAAAATCAAAACAATAAAACCTCCAATAGCTTTTTATTTCCTGAAGAATAAAGACAAACCCTGTAATGATGAAATCTGAGGACTTTTATAATCTAATTACAACCAATTTCTCTGCTTTAATTCAAAATCCCATCATGTCATTTATACCACAACCACACTGGATCACTCCCTTGCCTTCCTCTGAACAGTGCCTTCAAACTTCCCACCTCCAAACCGTTACTTACCATGTTTACCCCACTGGAAACCATCACCTTCCCCAATCAAACATCCTAGGTCCTTGTCACATGCCACATCCTCATAAAGACTTCTTTGATCTTCTGGCCAGAAGCAAACCACTTCTTTTTATACTTGCAGTTTTTATTTTATTTTATTTTTGACATGAGTTCTCATCAAATTGCCCAGGCTGGCCTAAACTTTCAATCCTCCTACCTCAGCCTCCCAAGTAGCTGAGGTTACAGGCATGCACCACTGCACTGAGCATATTATAACTTTTTATTTTGTTTTGTGTGTGTGTGTGTGTGTGTGTGGAATTATTTAGTCTGTCTCGGGAAAATAATCTTATGGAAGAAATGAGTCATGGTCTGGTTTACTCACAAAATATTGCAGGAGACTTACAGAGTCTAATAACTGCAAGCATCCAGTGAGTATATTGTTAATATGAACCATGAATCTATAAATGGAAATTATAATATATCCTAGTCAAATGGATATAACATAGTGTTTATATTAGTGTTTTTCAGGCTGTGTTGATTGGAGTTGTATTTTATTCCACGCCTCAGGTTTCATCAATATTTTACTTGAAGAAAGGGTTTTGTTGCTAGATATTTTAAGCCATCACTTTCATTCGAAATCTTCATTTTCTAGATGAGAAAAAGAGAAAGAACAAAGAGGAGTTTATAATGACTTCCCCAAGGTTTCCCAACTGTTTGGTAACAGAAACAGAATCAGCAGATTATACGTAATCAGTATCAATTGGAAAGACGTATTTACAGAGCAGCTTAGTGACCTCATCCTTTCCTAAGACATTACTCTGTCACTGGGAAAATGAAGCTCTGAAGGGAATTACAATAAATCAGGGAGGACACCTGAGGTTGAATCTCGATGAGCTCTTTCCTGTAGGTACTGTTGGTACAAAACTGTGAAAGATTTCATTTTCTCAGGAAATGTGTTATTCACCAAAGTCTTATTTTAAAGGGATTGACAGAAGCTTTAGAAAAACCCACATAAATAGTATTTCTCAGGATTTCTCAAGGACTATATCAAAGCAAGATCATGCAATATTTTAGAATATCAAATATATTCACTGCTTGGGTGTACCTGCATGTGTGATAAAAATTAATATTAAGATGTCATTTCTAGCTGTTACTAGTTCTTGATTCCTTTTTTATAAATTTCTTATAAGTCAGGCAGTAAGTTCACAAGGTCTCCCACAAAATGAGGAGGAATGAAAGAAACAGAATGCTAGCAAAAATATTGATTTTTTTCCCTCAATGTTAATTTACACT